TTGTGTAAAGCGCATTTGTACTTCATTCTCAAAACATTTTCTCTCCACTTAAACCCCCGACATTAGGTCCTCATTTTTCTTAATTATATTTCTATTCAAACTATTTTGATTATGATATTTGTGAATATACACCCGATTATTCTGATTTGGATGAATTAGAAGACCTCGTAGTTAGTAATGATAATACTAGTGAAAATGAGTTAGAAACTTCAGTTGTTGAAGTTGAAGAATCAATTCCAATAACTACAAGTTCAAAGCCATCTACATCAAGAAATAGAAGAATTCCTCTTTGGCGGCACATTTCTGGAGACGGTACAGCTGGATCTATGCCTGAATGGTTAGGACAAATAGATTCTTCTGGAGTAGTAAAACGTCCTGTTGAATATTGTAGACGTTTTTTCTCGAAGGATATCATTACTCATATTGTTGACCAATCAAATCTTTATGCAATCCAGCAAAATCCCAATAAACCTCTTGCACTGAGTAGCCAGGAACTTGAGCAATTTTGGGGTACACTGCTTGATTTGATAGACTCGCTAATTGTACTGTACAGAATTCATATCAGATTGAAAAAATTATCACAAATTATTTTTTCATCTTATAGATGTGACTGTTGTGAACTCTTGGCTACTTTATTGTAGAGACTGTGAGAGCCTTTAGTTACCAAAAAAAAATCCAAAGTCTGCAAGAGTTCAAAATGAGCATCGCCGAAGCGCTTCTTGAAGGAAAAAGTAACAGACCAACAAAAGGCAGACCTTCTACCAGCTTTACTGATGTCGAGTTTGCTGACAAAGAGAGAAGAGGTCCTGCCACCGAAAGTCTCCCTGGAAGAGATTCCCCTTTGGATGGCCTTCACCTTTACCCTGAGGTCACAGAGGAAGATGCGAACTATGTAAATTGCAAGAGTGCACCAGTATTTTTCTGCAGCAAATGCAAAGTTCATCTTTGTATCACAAAAGGAAAAAATTGGTTTTTTTTCAATTTCACACTAAAATTACAAATTTTGCATTATATTTTATAAACAGAATAAGTTTTCAGTTTTTTTTATTTAATAAAATAAGATGAAAAATGCATATTTTATTCTTGTTATAAATCCATGGATGAATGTGACAATTTGGTTACATTTAAAAAACATTGCAAATTTTATATTTTTAAATATATTTTGGTTGTTATACCTATTGATAACTATGAAAGTAAAGAATAAAAACAAAAAAAAAAATTTTTCCTGAAAGTAAAAATTCCCACGTTATAGGGATAATCTTTACTTTTTAATCACTGTACAATTGTGCCTACCGGACCTGTAATGATTTGTTAGGGGCTCTCTTCCCTGACACATAGCCCTTTGCAAACCAGGTGCTGGGCATTTAAACTCTAAAACAAGAGTCAATTGAACACAGGTAAACACCTTTCTGTTTTCAGCCAAACTCTTCTGACATTAGCAATGCTATCCTTCATTCCACATTCTTTTAAATCTGCCAAGAATTTCTAGCAGTTTCCTGCCAACGTATAACAGCACCCATTTTTGAGTGTTCTTCAGGAAAAAGTTTACATTGATGTGACATTGGTGATGTTTGATCATTTCCACATTCTTTTGTATCATCATTCTTATGAATGGGCACAAATATCAATGTCTTCTAGTCAGTGAGCCAGGTAGCTAGCTTCCAAATTTCTTGAAATATCTTTCAAATTTCTTACAGTAGTGAGCATCTCCAGAGCGGCATTGTTTTGCTGAACTACATCAATTGCTATTCTGTCAGTTCCTGGAACTTTGTTCTTCACCAGTGTCGATGCTTTGAGTGCAACTAGGACTTCTCTCTTCAATATTGTCAGTTCTTGATTGTATGCGACCTTCTGGAATGGTCAAATGTTGGCCAGTTCGTTGTGGTACAGTGATGCTGTATTCCTTCCGTCTTCTTTTGATGCTTTCTGCATCATTCAATAGCTTGTCTTCAATACTGCAAATCAAGGTTTCCGTTTCTTTCAACTTGAGATATGCTGAGTGCATCCATCCCTCACTTTTGGGATTCTAACTCCAGGTGTTTGCACATTGTGTTATAGTGCTTTACGTGTCTTCTCCAGGCACCTTTGAAATCTGTGCCACTCTTTCACATCATTTCTGCCCTTTGTTTTAGCCCTTCTACTTTCAAGAGTAAGTTTCAGAGCCCTTTTGTGACATCCCTTTTGATCTTCCTTGTCTTTTTAAGGATCATTTACTTTCTTCATGTATGATGTCCTTGATAGCACCCACAACGTACCTGGTCTTCAGTGATTAGTGCTCAGTACATCCAATCTTGTTTAGATGGTCTCTAAATTCAGGTGGGATATACTCTAGGTTATATTTTGGCACTCGTTAAGCTAGTCAGAAAGTGGCAAGGTTAGAAGAGGTGTTAAGTGGAGGGAAATTGGTGACATGCAGAAAGGACACACTTCCCTATCACTAGAAGAGACCAGAGAGCTTGAAGGCTGGGTGGAAAAGACAGGTATTCAAACTACCCCCACAATGACTGAATACTCATGGACACAGCTTGAAGTCTGGAGTGCTGGGATGCATGTCCCTGGAAGGAGGAAGGACACTACAGACACCAGCCAAGAGCAGAAGACCCACCAGAAAGCCAGCCTTTGGTGGAAAGCCCACCATTAGCCTATGCAAGGTCTAGTATGATGTTCTTCTGGGCCTTTTAGACTAGCTAAGGGCCCTTTGAACTTCTTAAGTATACCCCTACAATAAACTCTTTCTGTTCAAATTTTTTCTCTGACTCTATGAATTTTGTCCCTTGCCTGAAAACATTCTTCCAAAAGAGGAATGAAGAGGCTCCTCCCAGATCCGAAGTAGTGACACCCAACGCCACCCATCCACGGACCCACAGTGAGTGACTGCTCCCTTGGGAACAAACTTCCTCTCCAATTTCTCTTCCCTGTCCTCTTGTTCTCGTTTTTCTTTCAAGCCTTTAAGGGATCCACCAGGGAGAACCCAGAAACACAAGCATGTTTGGAGACAGAAAGAATCCCTGCATGAGTGTCCGGGCTTGTCGGAGTCCGAGAACAGAGTAGCGTTTCCTCCCCTTGGTCCAGATACCTGGATGTTCAGTGGGGATGAACCCCATGACGTCAAGGTGGCTCATAGGGAACCCCATAAGACACCGTAACAAAGCCAATAGATTCTCTCGGAGGTGCCAGATAGGTGTGTTCTGTCAAGCGCTCCTGACTTGTCCTGAGTCGATTAGCTGCCCAGGATGTTCGCAGACACTTAAGAGAGGGTAAATGATGACCAGAGAAGTGGCATTTTCTGGCAGTCTTACCCACTAACAGCACATGGAGCTCACCACACAAGGTCACTAGCTTCGGTCTCTCAAACATGCTGAGGAAAAAGGGAAAGAAGTATAAGCCATGAAGCTGGCCACTCCCAGGGTACCTCTCTGTTTCTCCTGGTCTTTAGCATGTTCTAGCTGCAATGTTACCCTCCCTGTAGGATGCATGTAAAACGTGTTTTGTGAGGCAGTAGGGAAGAGCCACTTGGGCTTGTCATTTATCTAAGATGTCACACTTGCCTATCTATTGGGGTGCCTGTCTGTTTAACATGAGTAAAAAAAACCTTGTGGATTAATGAGCTAAGCTTTGGACTGTGAATTCTGTTTGAGGTCAGCTGTTTGAGACCAGCAGCCACTCCAAGGTAGTAGGATGAGGCTTTCTGCCCCTGTGAGCATTTGCAGATCTGTTGTGCCTTACAGTGTTGTTGTGCCTTACAGTGTTGTTGCTAGTCAGAATGGCCTTAGTGGCAGCAGCCTGTCCCATTTTTAAAGAGCTGTAGGATTGTATCTCAGGCCATTTTTAAAGAGCTGTAGGATTGTATCTCAGGCCATTTTTAAAGAGCTGTAGGATTGTA